TGTGCCAAAAAACGAACACAGCTGTGTACATTTACGGTTCATTTAAAACCATTAATTCATTCCGTTCCAAATATTTTGATATATGTATGTATGTGTATGACTGACTGCCTGTATGTTCTTGACACTCATTCATGTGTCCATTTTCCGTGTTCCACTTAAAGAAAAAGTTTTCCTTGGAGGCCATCACCTATTAAAAATAACGTAACATAACAGATGGACCCTCACAAAATGGTAAACGGCGACCAACTGACCAACCGCCTATCTTGCCAACTGCTTGTCCATCTACCTCCCAACCCCAAAAAAAAAAATTTTATTAACATTTCACATGGTGTATAAAGAGATGGGAAAAAATAAAGAAGCGAAAAAGAAGCCAAAAATGCCATTGATTCATTAAGAAGGAACAGAAAGGAGAATAATGGAATTTGGTTTTTATTCGTCTAGTGTGTTTCCGTTTTTTTCTGTCATGATAAAACTCATTACCTTACCCCACAACTGGTAGATGGCGATGGTGTGGAGCAGAAAAGCATTTGTTGCTTAAGAAATGTGTTTTTAATGACAACTCATTGCAAAGATATCAACACAGCGATGAAGGCCATGATTGAGGGAAAAAACGAAGAAAGAAAAACCGTCGTTGAATCCCAAAGTGGAAATTACTTCGCACCACAACTGATGCATTCATAGAAGATGTGCATGAGATTCGTGTATTTTTTTTTCTTTCTTCATTGTCTTTTTCATTGCCGGAGACACCTTTTATGGCATGCCATATAACCATCATTTCATTTGCCAAAAAAAGAGAACTTGAAAAAATTCCTATTGTCTTCATCTTGTCTAATGTCCTTAAAAGATCTATGTAATGTTTTAGGGGTATGAGTGGTTAGATGAGAGGTTTGTAACACATGTTTATAAATGCTGATTTTTGCACTACAAGCCTGCATTTTTTTTGAAGACTAGTTTTCAAGGACTTTTCCAACTATAAGCGTGGATTTTTTAAAGAGTATTTTTTAAGTACTCTCCAAGTATGTATTTTTAGAGAATATTTTCTTCAAGGACTTTCCATGCATGGATTTCAAAAGCATATTTTATTCAAGGAATCTCAACGCATTCAAACGTGGTTTTAAAAAAATATTTTTTAGGAATCTTGAAACTTAATTTTTTTAAATATATTTTTTCAAGGTTTATCTATGTTTAGAACAATATTTTCTTCAATCGTGTATTTTTAAGGATCAGATAATAATTTTGGGATGAAATGGCCCGAATAACTTAGTTTGTTTTTTTTTTTCAGTCCATCTATAGGCTACAATTTAAACCCGAATATCACAACACAACCCACGGTGAGGGGAATCTGAACAGAACAGAATGACAACTGTGGCTGTAAGTGTAAGTTGTGTAGGGTACCATATGGTCCGACTATACTGATCCAATCACTGATTTAAAGAATATTTTATTCGAGCGTGAATTTTTAAATACTATTTTTATCGAGGACTCTTCAGAATGGAAATTTAAAGAAAAAATTTTAAGGACTCTCAACGACGTAGATTTTTAAATGTTTTTTAGTTCAACATTTTTAAGGAAGAATACAAGGCGTGCATTTTTTAAAGAATATTTTTCAGGGCCAATACAAGGCGTAGATTGTTTAAAGAATATTTTTTCATTGCCAATACAAGCCGTAGATTATTTAAAGAATATTTTTTCAGGCCTGGATTTTTTAAACAAGGACGATTCAAGGACGATTTTTTAGAGAAAAGTTTTCCAAGTACTCTTCAAGCTTGATTTTGAAGCCTGATTTAAAAAAAAAAATTGTCCAAGCAATCTTTTTTTAAAGAAAAAAGTTTTTAAAGAAAAAAGTCAAAAGACTCCAAGATTTCTCCAATCCTGGATTTTTTAAAGAAAATTTGTCCATGGATTCTCCTTAGTGGATTTTTTAAAATAAAAAAATCAAGGACTTTAATACCCTGATTTTTAAAGAAAGTATTTTAACGACTCTCTAAGACTGTATTTCTTGAAAAAAAAAAAAAACATTTTAAAGACTCTCTAAGCGTGGATTTGTTAATGAAAAAATTTCCAAGGACTTTCTAAGTATGGGTTGGTTAAAGAAACAAATTCCAAGGACTCTCTAAGCCTGGATTGCCCAAAGACAATATTTCCAAAGACTCTGTAAGGTTTTCCTAAGCGTGCATTTTTGAAAGAATATTTTTGTAAGGATTATCTAAGCCTGATTTTTTATATTTTCAAGAACTGTCGAGGCATCGTCTTTTCTCAGCAGAAATAGTATTTTTTAGCGTCAAAGATTAACGTCCTTGCCGCTTTTAATAGTTTCCCACATTTGACTATTCCTCTAGCATTTTCAAATAGGATTTTTTGGTTATTTTTTCGATTTTCTTAGCCGTCATTTCTTTTTATGTAGATTTCCTTATTTTCCATTCATAGCACAGCCATTCAAATAGTTTCTCCACCAAAAAACGAAGTTAAGAGAAAAACATTGCACGCAAATATTTCCTTTTTTGCTTTTGTATTTCCACTGATGAGACCTCTATTCGCTTTAGATTTACAATTAATGGAGGCTAAGGAAAACATGTATTGACTTCTTAGCGGGATCAAGGATATGCATTCAAGTGCTATGCCATTGTGTTGGCTATTAAAGTGGTCTGGTCATAAGTGGGGATGCCATCAATACCACCATGCAAATAGTTCAATTATTCAAATGCTATCAATAGAAATAATTTCTTAATCTTGGTTGTGAAGAAAAAAATTAAAATTCTCAGAATGCCATTTGAGGTTTCAATTCCAATAAATGTTGATAGGATAATTACCGTGAGTATTGTTAATGGTATACCATTCGTCTGTCTGGTATTTAAATATGTCAGGTAATTTGTAGGAGGAAGATTAAATTTTAAATAGCAAAAGGAACTTGGAACAATAATTTACAGAGAAGTTGTAGTGAAAAATTCCTACTCCAAAGAGATATCCTGACTACTATGCTCTGGGGTTCAATTTGTTCGGTGCTGGCAAAAGATGGTGCCAATAGTTTTTCGAATAATATTTTGGGAATTACAGGAAGAAATATAATATATTCGGACTTGAAGAGGGTAGCTGCAATTCGGACTTGAAGAGGGAAGCCGGAGAAAGTGTGCCATCTCTATTGGCTTTAGCAATAAGTCCATTGTAAAAGAATTATAGGCTCGGACGGAAAATTTATTGATGATGTGTGTCGTGAGGGTTTTGCTGGCAGGAGGAACACCTCTTTTGGGTTCCGCGCTCTCGATACAAACTGAGAACATTGCTATATCCGGACCTTTTTTTAAAGAAAAATGTGCAAGAATTCTCCAAGCCTAGATATTTTAAAGAAATTTTTTCTTAGGATTCTCCATCCTGGATTTTTAAAGAAAAATTGTCAAGGACTCTCCAAGCTTGGATTTTTTAAAGAAAATTTGTCAAGGATTCCCCAAGCTTAGATACTTTAAAGAACATTTTTCTAAGGACTCTCCAAGCCTGTATTTTTTAAAGAAAATGTGTCCAGGGAATCTTCAAGCGCGGTTTCTTAAAGAAAATATTTCAAAGGACTCTTTAAGCCTGGAGTTCATAAAGAAAAATGTTCAAAGGATTCTCCTAGCCTGTATTGTTAATAATGTTTTAGGATATGAGTGGTTAGTTGAGAGGTTTATAAATACTGATTTTTTAAATATTGTTTTTAAGGTATATTCCATCAAGGACAGCTACCGATAAGCGTTGTTCGAGCTATAAGCATGATTTTTTAACAGGATTTTTCAAACTATAAGCGTGGATTTTTTAAAGAGTATTTTTAAGGACTCTCCAAGCATGGATTTTTTAAAGAGTATTTTTAAGGACTCTCCAAGCATGTATTTTTTAAAGAGTATTTTTAAAGACTCCTAGGCATGGATTTTTTAAAGAGTATTTTTAAGGACTCTCCAAGCATGGATTTTTTAAATAATATTTTTTCTAGGTCTTCCCATGCATGGGTATTAAAAAATGGATTTTTAAAGAATATTTTTTTAAGACTGGAATGGATTGTTAAAAGAAAAATTCTTCAAGGACTCCCCAAGCGTATATTTTTTAAAGAAGCCTCTCACAGTCCGAAATTGCTGGAGGATGTTGGAGTAGGAATTTGTTGCATATATATCAATTTATGGCTTTGGGAACCGCCACTTGATACATGGATTTCATCACGTTCGCTATCGGCATCTGTTGACGTCCGATTGAATGACGTCTTGGATGATATCACGATAGCGCCTGAAGTGCTGACTGGTGTGTATCAGATGTGGATATCAGATGTGTAGAATGCCAGCCGGAACTGTCTAGTCAACGACACATTATGTTGCTAGATTGGCAGCATACTTGTCTCCTCATGGAGGTGATCGGAGCTCGTCATCTGGACACAGCAGGAGTGCGTTATTTCGTGTTGTTTGCAAGGATCTCCTATTCTAGCTGTTCTAGATACCATCCTTATGATTCAAAAATAAGGAAAATTCACACGATGATGAGGAGCTAGCCAAGATGTTGATCGGTACATGAACTTTGGTTTTGATTCCGTATTTTTCCGACACGTAATGTAGACTTTGTATGACAGTGAAATGTGCAGTGTTTTAAAGAGTAATGATTGACCTTTTTTAACCTTTTTAAAAAAACCTTATGCAACAAAAATACGAACACAAATTTTATGTAGCACTGAAATATATTTTTGTTGTAAATTTGCGTTTGAAGTGCTCATATAATTTGCAATATCTCGTTTACCCCAAGCATATGAAATATAATATTATTTATATACATTTCTCCTAACCCCTAAGGAACTATTTTAATAATATTTTTACTTCGTATTCTGATATGTACTCCATCAAATGGTAGTTGGCCCTCTTAAGAAGATAAAATAAATTTCTTAGAATTCAAAATACGTTTACAAGACATAAATCCTATTATTTTATTCACTCTTATTTTTTTATTGCTAAAATTAATTTGTCGTTTTTATTGTAATTTTCATTTTCTAGGCTGCCTTAGGACCCATTGCCTTGGATATGGCACGTGAACTTAACTCCGAGGCGGATATTGTTGCTTTGGCCAGGAATGTTTTAATCATATCCGTTTTGGCCATTATATTCACAGCACCATTGGGTGCTATTTTGATGTTACGTTTAGCTCCAAAATGGCTACAACACAGTCCGGCCGAACAAACAGATGAGGAAGCAGCGGAAGGGGAAGCCGTGCAGCAGGATGCTAACAACATCAATGGGAACAGCAACCACCTCTCCAATAACGGCACACAGCGGGCAATTCCAATCTAAACCGCAATCAATGTCAGTTTAATAGCAAATCATAAAGTTGATATAACAAAGTAACCGACAAAGCGACCGACCGAACGAAAGCATTGAAACAAGAGAAGGCGAACTGAAAAATCATGCAAAAATCCTAACCACCCACCCACCAATAGCAGCAACCACCCCTAGAATTCTATATTAATGTTCCTTGGAAAATAATTTCTTTGATATCACCACACTTCGCTGTAACATTTACATTTCGTTTTTTTTTTTCACCAACTCACCGCAGACAAGACGGACGACGTCAATGACTAGGATGACGGTGCTCTGACGTTGTCCGATGTTGGCGACAATGACTTTGATGATGAGGCTGTTGCTGCTTCTTCATACAACCATGACGTTGACTTTGATTTGAATTAATGCAAAATTCGACGAAGACGAAAAGCCAAAAGGAACAGAAAACAAGAAAATAAATAAAGACGCGTCATGTGATCAAATGAATAAATAAACATCAATCGTCGACAACTAAGTTAAATAAATGCGATTTAGGCTTAAATTTATGTAAATAAAACAAAAATTGTATATGGACGAAATGGGAATATTGTGAGGGATGAATGATTTTGGACCACGCTACGTGAAGTCTACGTAGAAAAATATTTAAATAAAATTTTATTAAAATTCAATATAAATCAATGTAACATATATATATTTATAGTACCAGATTTTTAAAAAAAAAAAAGTGTATGTGTACTTATTATATAACTGTATGCATTTAATTTTTTTTATTATAATAAATTAAAAATCGTGTTTATTTATAAATTAATTTCTTACTGTTAACATTTAATGACAAGGTGATAAGGTGACCATACGTCCTCTTTTTTAGAGGACAATCATCTATTTTAACTGGATGTCATCTATAAAATGTATGTCCTCTATCTGTCATCTATTTCTATAATCGGTCATCTTTGTCATCTATATTTTTAAAAACTTGATCAATATTTATTTTTGTAAATTAAAAAAATAAGTAAATAAATAATACCTTTTATGAAATTTGTTGGTATTTTAGACACACTTTCCAACCGAATTATCTTTTATTTTATATTTTGAGTTCTAATGGGGTAACAAATTTCCATCAAATATTATTAATTATTAAATTTTGGTATTTTTAGAGTTCCTGGGCACGTTTTGCAATCGATAAAGAAACCCGCTTTTATACCCTTCACCACACTGTGGTACAGGGTATTATGTCTTTGTGCATATGTTTGTAACAGACAAAAGGAAACGAGATAGACACATGGTTCCTTTTGAGAATATGCATAGAATCACTTTTTGAGTCGATTTATGCATGTCCGTCCGTCCGTCTGTTGGTGTTAAATTGTAAACAAAGTACAGGTCGCATTTATGATCCGAATTGGATGAAATTTGGCATAGGTCACTTATTCGGCCCAAGGACGAACCCTATTGAAATTGGGAAAAGTCGGTTCAGATTTAGATATAGCTCCCATATATATATTTAACCGATTTAATGTAAATGGTCCCTATATATCTTTCGTGAAAATCGGTCCAGATTTAGATATAGCTCCCATATATAGTTTCGTCCGATTTCATGTAAATGGTGCCCCAAAGTCCCTATATATCTTTTGATTTACACGAAATGTGACAAAACGTACTGAATTGAGCCTAGAGTGATGTCTGCCTTGTTTCGTGAAAATCGATCAGATTTAGATATAGCTCCTTTGGTGCACCATTTACAGGAAATGGTGCACCAAAGTCCCTATATATCCTTCGTTTTCCACGAAATTTGGCATAACGTACTTAATTGAGCCTAGAATGATGTCTGCCAAGTTTCATGAAAATCGGTCCTGATTTAGATATTGCTCCCATATATAGTTTCGTCCGATTTCATGTAAATGGTGCATCAAAGTCCCTATATATCCTTCGATTTCCACGAAATTTGGCATAACGTACTTAATTGAGCCTAGAATGATGTCTGCCAAGTTTCAAGAAAATCGGTCCAGATTTAGATATAGCTCCCATATATAGTTTCGTCCGATTTCATGTAAATGGTGCCCCAAAGTCCCTATATATCTTTCGAGTGACGTCTGCCAAGTTTCGAGAAAATCGGTCCAGATTTAGATATAGCTCCCATATATAGTTTCGTCCGATTTCATGTAAATGGTGCCCAAAGTCCCTATATATCTTTCGATTTGCACGAAATTTGGCATAACGTACTGAATTGAGCCTAGAGTGATGTCTGCCTTGTTTCGTGAAAATCGGTCCTGATTTAGATATTGCTCCCATATATAGTTTCGTCCGATTTCATGTAAATGGTGCATCAAAGTCCCTATATATCCTTCGATTTGCACGAAATTTGGCTTAACGTACTGAATTGAGCCTAGAGTGATGTCTGCCAAGTTTCAAGAAAATCGGTCCAGATTTCTATATATCTCCCACATTTTTTAAGTAATTGACGCACCAAGGAACCAATAGGAACAAAACGTTCTGAAATTAGTATAACCTAACCTGTGACAAGTTTGCTTGAAATCGCTTAATATTTGGATAGAGCTTCCATATATATTTTCGCCCGATTTCAAGTAAGTTGGACATCACACTTCTCATGTTAGTCAGATTGACATCAAATTTTGCACAACGTACAAAATTGAGCATAGAACAGCGTAGTAGCATTTTCTAGAAGTACAGACATAGCCCAACGTATGACCTATTTATATTTGTTTGAATTCGATTTACATACTTTATGGATAGATCTAGGTAGATTCACATTTAGATAAATATCACATATATTATTTCATGTTAATAGTCCTGTTTAATATACCCATAGTGGTGAAGGGTATCATATAGTCGGCCCCGTCCGACTTTACTACTTTCCTTACTGGTTATACCCTACTCAACTATGTTGTCAGGGTATTATAGCTTTGTGCAGCCCTAAGAGTTCGTAACGCCTCGAAATATTGGTCCTAGGCCCACCTTTAAGTATACATATCTCGACTAGCTGAGTCGTTCTAGACATGTGTGTCCGTCCGTCTGTCCATTGTAATTTGTAAACACGATACAGGCCACAGTTATGGACCAATCTTCACGAAATTTGGCATGTAGGATGGGTTCTGGCTAATGAAGACTCCTATTTTTTTTGGTAAAGATCGCTTAATATTTATGGGATGAAATGGACCAAATACTAAATTTTTGTCGGTTTTTTGGTCGTTCCAGAGGCCGCAATTATGGCCCGAACATCGTGAAATTTTACATGGAGAAGGGAATCGGCCAAAGAATAAGTATGCCTGTCAATATTTAGCGGGTCAAATGGACCCTTACTTTTGTGTAAAAAATGACAAAATGTGTATTCTTTTGTTCATTTACTTACCCCTGAAGAGCATAGACCCGAGAAGTTGGTAGTATATCCATGAGGAGTGGATGACCTTTAAACTGATACCAATTATATGGTCGTATGTACTCAGATCTGAGAGTTACACTTAAATATTTACAGGTGGTTACGTATTCAGATATTAATCAGTAACCCTTTATCACACTGAAGGGCGGAAATATAGCGCTGATCGGTTTGAAATGTTCCATGAGGTTCCAGTTATGGTCAAGGACAACGCCTATAATTTTCGGTGATGATCAGATAATAATTTTGGGATGAAGTGGACCGAAAACTAATTTGTTTCTGTATTGTTTCGAGTCGGTCTATAGCCAAACAATTATAAGCCGAATATCACCACACAACTTACGGTGAAGGAAATATGGACAAGTTATTAGATGGACTGTACTGAATATTGGTAATATTTGGAAAATATGTCAGTGTAATGAAGAGGTGTTTTTGATCTCAAATCGGACAAGAGGATGCAACTATCACTAAATATTGCCCTTGAAATAAAAATCCGCAGATGTGTAGGGTATCGTATGGTCGGCCACGCCCGACTGTACTGCTTCGCTCACTGATTTTTTTTATTTTACAAAAATATGTCTTGAAATGTACAATTTGGTTAGGTTGGTTAGGTTACAACCTATGGGTGGCAAAATGTCCTTGGAAAACAAAGTCGACATATGTTTTCTTCTAAGTTTCTTATATAAAGATCACAAGATTATTCGCTTAGGATCATATATTTAGCACGGTCGTAATTAACGACTTTTAACCCATTAGTTTTATTATCGATATACATACAAACTACAAATTCTCCCCAAATTCTCCACCAATAGTGAAAGTTTCACTTCAATACATGCATTCATTACTGTGATACAGCCATTTGAAGTTGATGTTGTGTCAAAATATAGCTGCTACCGATTCTATCTGCCAAGAGGTGGTATTTTATCCCCCGAAGTCTGTAATATTAAATTACAACAACTTTGATTGTAAAATCGGTGAATGGGAACAGCAATTGAATGTCAAATTGCTAATTTCCCTAATAGCCCTATTTTTTCTCAAAATGAATTATTTTCCAATGACAACAAACATTCAGCAACAATCTAATATAAAAATTTTCTCAAATACACCAATTTCTAGCCATTCAAAGCTAATTTAACGTTTTAGCAAATGATCACGATTTACTTAGTTCTCCGTGGTGAAAATACTTGTTTATCGATACACATACAAACTACACAATCTCCCCTAAACAATGGTAAAAGTTTGATGTCAATACGTTCATTCATTACTGAGTTATAGCTATTTAAAGTCAACCTTGTGTCAAAATATAGCAGCTACACGATTCTGTTGGCCTGGTACCTCAAATTGGAAAAATGGTCGAAATTGACATTTTCACAAAAGCAAAAAAATACAAAACAGCAGCATCATTGCCACACTGTTCGATTTTTCTTTGATTTAATGGTTGGTTTACAAATTCTGAGCATACCTTCAGGCGCATCATTTAAAATGATATCTATGTGAAAGCTATAAGGCTCGTTATTTTAATATAACGCCTAAAAGTATGCTCAGAATTTAGAAACTAATATTTAAACACTATGGAAGCGATCTGGTAACATTGTAGTATTTTATGTTTTTGCCTATGTGCGAT